CATTGTAAAAGTTGAAATTTTCCCAATTGTGTAGGATTTAAATTATTTATCGCAATATCTAAAATATTTGCAATATTATTTAATAGCTTGATAAATTTGGTTCACATTGTAAAAGTTGAAATTTTCCAATTTTGTAGGATTTAAATTATTTATCGCAATATCTGGAATATTTGCTACACTTAGAATTTCGATTTGACTTCTATTTATTACAGTTAACGGAGAATATTTTTAGAAAATCAATGTTTAGTTTCCAATGCTACGAAACGTAAGAACTCGATAAAATGAAATTGTACTGTATAAGAATCTTGAAGATCACAATTCTAAGAGCATAGTTAATTTTTGAAGTGTCAAACTTTGGTGAGATCTAAATTATTTATCGCGATATCTGGGATATTTGCTTCAATTTTTTTCCAACTTCCGTTACAATTTTTATGCGTGTCTTGTCTCTTACAATTAGTGCAGACAATTTTGATTTTGCACAACGATAGGCAGTCTAACTGTACGCTTAGACTTTTTGGAAGGATGAGGTCCATTTGGATCCAGAGTAGAAATTAGTTTCTGACAGCTAATTTAGATATTTACATATTTCATTAACGTTTACAATAAAACTAACGTGTCTAGGTGTACCATAAAAAATACGTTGAAATGTATTTGACAAATAAAATATATAATTGATATAAGTAATAAATAAAATTACAAATTACATAAATGATAAGTAAAATATATAATTGATATCATTGGTAAATGAAATATATAATTGATGTAATAGGAAAATAAATTATACAATTTGATGGATAAAATATATAACTGATACAATTGATAAATAAAATTACAAGTGATCCCGAGCATACTCAGTTACATTTTTGTCAAAATAATCTGTCATTAAAATCACTAAACCAAGAAAGAAACATGTTTATTAGTTTCCTGTTTTCCGGAAAATCAGAAAGAAACACGTGTCCCTCTCGTTCCATCCTTTCGTCTCGTCCACACAAAAATTTTCACATGCTGCAAAAAGAATTATTACTGTCGAAAATGTAATCATTGTACGGGTAGGGATAACGATACGATCGCAAGTGGTTAACCAGCGAGAACCATCCTCCCATCATCTCGGAACACCATGGCTCCCTTAGCGCCTAGAACGCGAAACCACCCTTCGTTAACGCTAGACCCCCGGGCCTCGACTTAATCAAAGTCCGCGTCCGCGAATAATGCCTGATAAAGCATTAACCCAGATACACAGAGGGACATCCATATAGCTAGAGAGACAGATAGAGCTAGAGCAAAATAGAAAAGAACAAAACAGATAGATTGACACATATTACATACATATAGATATAATTATACAATGTACACGTTAATTGTAATATAGACAATATAATATATACAGGGTGTTTCAGTTTTCTCCGCGAAACTATACCGGCACATTCTACAAGTGAAAATGAGAGAACAAATTTCAAATGATAACAGAGTGCTTTTTTGATTGATACATTTTATGATACTTACACTACTTAAACTTATTGAACTGACTGTATATATTATAATTTATTTTATATATATATATATAGACATATAGAGAAAGAGAAGGAGCGATATAGAAATTAAGAGAGAGAGAGAGAGAGAGAGAGAGAGAGAGAGAGAGAGATGAAGGGAGAGGAAGATAGAAATTAAGAGACAGAGGGGGAGGGAGAGAAAGATAAAAATGAGGAGAGAGGGAGAGAGAGCTAGAGATTAGGAGAGAGAGAGACAGAAAGCATAATAAGAAAGTAAGTGAGTTAACCTAAGAGAGTAAGAGAGACAGATAGTAAGAGAGAGAAAGAGACTAAGAGAGGGAGACTAGAAAAGTAAGGTATTAAGAGGGAGAGTGAGAGAGACTAATAAAGTAAGATATTATGAGAAAGAGAGAGGGGGAGAGATTAGAAGAGAGACAGAGAAGAACAAAGAAATAGCAAAAGAGTGAGAGAGAGAGAGAGAGAGAGAGAGAGAGAGAGAGAGAGAGAGATAGATAGAGATGGGGTCGTCGAAGGATCAACTACCTCGGGGATAACGGCGGTGTGGTGTTTCTCACCCTGTCCACCCCTAGATCTCGTGGTCCCTTCCTGCGGGACTCTAATCCGGCCGTGCTAATAATCGGCCGTCCTTTCATCCCTCGGCGTGTCAGTGTCACGTCCGCTCCGGGGGTGTGTCTCCGTGAAAATTCACCATATTTACAAATCAGAACATTCACCACCCCCTTCGGCCACCACCACCACTGCCACCACCACCACCTCCACCAACACCACCTCCACCACTACCACCACCACCTCCACCACCACCACCAACAACAACAACAACCACCACCACTACCACCGACAGCACGCCGATGATCGTCGCCACTGCCGCCACGTTTCCGAAACCTCGCGAAACTCGCACCAACCCCCTGTGCGTCACCCTTTCTCCAGGAGGCGGTTAAAGACCGAGAAAAACTACCACTAACTTGCCGGTGGTGTTCCGAGAATCTGCCGAAATCGTTTCCCCAGCTCTCGAGGCAGCCGGGAAACGTTCAAGAAATTTAGGGGATGATTTTATGGGACGATTCTAGGGGCGGTTTTCAGACGATGGATTTTAGGTGGTGGCTGTGTCGCGGGTTGACTTTCCGATGGTGGTTTTTGGGGATGTTTTCCGGGCGATGGTCTTAGCGGGATGACTTTGATGAGATTGTTTTTTAGGGATGATGTCTGGGAGATGGTTTCCGAGCGATGGTTTTTTAGGTGGTTGTTTCCGGATGGTGGTTTTGGAGAAATTGATTTTAGATGGTCGTTTTTGGAAGATGGTTTTTGGGGGATGGTCTCTAGGTGGTAGTTTTTGGGCGATGGTTTTTAGGGAATGGTGTTGGGCGACCGTTTTGGGGCGATGGTTTTTGGGAGATGGTTTATGGGGCGTGATTTTTCGCGGGGTTGTTTTTGGGTGGTGGTTTCGGGGCGATGACTTTTCCGGGTTAGTTTTTAGGGGTCGCGGAGGCTCCGGAGCGCTTTCCCGAGGATTTTCTCGCGCACCCCGACGGGCAGGGGGTTTCTCCGATTCTCTCGGCTCGGGGTGCGAGAGAGCACTGAGTTCCAAGTGGATGGAGCCCCTGATACGGCGGATGTGCACGCTGCGCCCGCCCCCGCAGCCCTCCGGGTCCTGAGGAATCGACGCGCGCGCGTATTTCGAGCGTGTTCCCGGTGTTGTTTCGACGGTGAGAGGCCGGGTTTAACAGAGGGATACCGATGGCGAGTCTAGTGGCACTCTGGAACCCTCGCAACCACCACCCCCAACCCCTGCCGCGACTGCGACAAGGAAATTCTGACGCCAAGGATTATGGTCACCGTTGGTCTACCAGCCGATCATCTTCGTGGCCGACTCCGGATGAGGGTGCTTTTATTGGTCGGGGTGATCGGTTTCTTTTGGCTGGGGTGGGCAGGAGTTGTGGGACAGGTGGATGCTAGGATGATGTTTTCGGGGAGTTCGATGAGGGTTGGTTGAAGAGGGTGACTTTTGTCGCTTGGTTTTCGTGGGGAAGGATTGGGGTAGGTGTGAATTAGGTTTTGGTATTTTGAAGTTGAAATTGGGGTGGTTATTTTTAGCGAATGTTGCTATTGGATGATTTAAAGGGGATGATTGTAGGGTTCGTCTCGAGTTATGGGTGTAGGGACATCTTTTTTAAGAAACTAAGTAAAGAATTTTTGTGAAACATTACTGTTTAGTTTGAACATGTTTGAGCCACGTTTATGAATTTTTGCAGATTTTTGTCGTCAAAATTGGGGTAGTTAATAATTAAACTGCATCTGTACGTTTCTGCTGATTTTTAACTTGGAAATTGTTATAGTTATTTATCAAACGTGCTTCTTAAGTAGAATTGAGCAGTGTGATTTTATTTTTCATTTCAAGGACAGTATTTGGAATTTTTTATTGGAAAAATTAAGTAATGCTACAAGCAACATTCATGCATTTTTATTTGTTAAAACTTTGTCCAAAATATAGTCAATTTGTAACAGAATTAGTGAAAATGCAAAACTTAAATTTTCAGTGCTCGCCTGTCGTTTTCTTGTTTGCAGACCCTGCAACGAGTAAAGTCGAGTTATTTTACTTTTCTTTTCGGGCGTGTTTGTGCGAGGGCAAACGCATGTCTGTAGGTTTTTTCAGAATTTTCCGTGGTATTTGTTGAAGCAGTTTTTTTCTTGTTTCGAGAATTCGGTTTCGAACTATTTTTTTAGGCGCTGAATAACACATGTTTGTGAAATTTAGTTGGCTTAAAGGATTATTGTAATTCGTCGCGTTTCTTTCGCGAATAATTATAACAATAGCAGTGATAACAATTTATGAAAATTCACGAATGTACCTTGAAATAAGTGTGAACAAATTTGCAGGATTTTGTGAGGAAATATCCTACGGTTTATGAGAGAACTATTTTTAAATGATGTGCGGAGAACATATCGATAAATGGGAACACCACCTTTAATGGGGGTGGCACCTTATCTGAGAGCCGATGCAGCTTTAATGGAGCGAAATAATTTTTGTTTGATTGTAACTCCTTTAAACTGCCCATTTAGCATCGTGGAACATCTATAACTGGCTTCCTATATCCCCTTTTCTTTATTTGAAGAACGATTTCTCGTTTCCACCCTCTCGATGCATTTATATAAATTCTCCTCGGTTTATACCAGATAGCCAAAAGCATTTTATTCTTTTCATCACATTCTCGGAGTAGTAATTTTGTCAAAGAAATCGAATTTTATTATTTACAATCTCTATTCACTTTCATAATTTTACAACATTTTATAATAATTATAATTTCAATTCTAACAATTTTAAACAAAGTACTGTTAAAACTTTCGGAAATAACACACTAATATTACTAAATTTATTTTGTTAATCTTTTTATTCACCACTACAATATTTTACAAAAATCACCCTCCAGAAGAAAAATGCTTTCTTAACCTCAATATAAATATACCCCAATAGTGTATTTTTTGGAAAGAATATATTAAGTGTATGTATGTAGCTACTATATATAATAGTACCTTTTAGATTTATTTAATATAAACTGTTTCCGGAAATACCCCTGCAGCATAAATAATTTTTCTTCCCCTAATCGAGAAATTAAAATTTGAAAAAAATATACAAAACGAAGCTAACTTATATCTACTATTACCATGTTCNTAGTTAAATATCTTCAAGACAGTTAATATCATTAACCAGAAACCACCCTCGGAGTAGAAATAATTTTTCCTTCCTCAATAGTGGATTTAAAATTTTGGAAGAAATACATAAAAAAGAAGATGGCACGCAGCTGTTATTTCCTTGTTGATTCATCGAAATATCTCAAGAGATGGCCAAGAACAATATTTCCAGAGTTAGGGGTCGCTGCCCCCATTGCAACGCTAAGAAACGTGAGAATAGTCGAAGTAATACTCACAGTAAAGAAGATTATTTAGCAAACAGAATTACCGAGATCGATGCGGAAAGCTTTATCGTACCGAGTCTTCACCAGCCACCTATACATTCATGATTGCCATAAGTACAACATGCGGTTTATTGTCAGACCAACAAAGCCCATTCGATTCTCAGCACGTCCAATGAACATACTAACTCGATTTACTCGAAAATGAAGCCTCGTACGGAAAATTTTCATCCTACAGTTTCGACATGTTTTTCATGAGAAAAAAAATATCCATCCCCTTTCAATTACCACTGACTTGATTGTATTGTTACGCGGAGCGAATATTTTGTAGCTGAAATATTATTTATTGTGCGAGAAATACGGAATTCGCAATTTCGCGCGTGCGAACCAAACAATTTTTATTTAATCAACAAAGTTGGTTATCATTATTTAAATTGTTTATAAATTAATTAATATAATTCTGTAATGTGTACGTTTTAGAATAATAACTGATTAAATAAACAAATAAATTTTCATAATCTATATTAGATATTTTAATTAATAAACAATTCTGTTTGAATTAAAGACGTTGATTCCCATTGGTATAATTTATATAAAGTTTTAATAATATTATTGAACAAAAGGATTGAACAAATAAAAATTGAATAAACAAATTGAGAAAATAAATTTAACAAGTATATGAAACGAATGGATTGAAGAAATGAATTGAAACTACAAATTCAGAAACTTTAAATAAATAAATAAATATGGGCAATTTATGTCAAATATTTCACGCATACGTTTCAAATTTATTCGAATCAAGTACGCGTATAATTTTGTGTCGCAGGCAAATCGAACGACGTTGAAAAAATTTTAGTTTTCAATTTTTCGATGAACGGGAAACATAATTTTCTAGGAAAAATAATTTTCCCTTCGTTCGATAATGCAGCGCTCGTTAAGATGGACAGACAGCGCGGCACATTCTCCGAATGTTTAGCAAAATGAGAAATTCTTTTGGCACTTCTTACGGTGCGCTAATGGCAGTGTTAATTAAAAGGCCGCGGAACGATCGTCCGCCATGATATTCGCATGATTCGCGAGGCGATCAAAAGCCGTAACGCAGAATTCTTGGACTAATATTGAACATTGAAATTCGATACGCGGAGTAGACGGATGTAAATCAATTTCTCTGTAATTTCTGCCGCAATCCGACTGGAATTAATCGGAGAGGTAAATTCTGGCCACGGAGAATATAAGACTTCTTCCCTTTGGATTCATTAAGTTAATGAATTCCGGATTATTCTTTATTGGAAAGCGGGTATTTGTCGTTTGCGGTGCAAATTGTGGATCTATGAAAACCGTCTTTGCTCGTATTTGTTAAATATTTAAAAATTTATGGTGTTAATGTGAATATTTGATCCGGAATTTTTGTAATATTCATTCAATTTCGCGAGGAAAAAGTCTGCCATATTTATTCAAGATTGTAGCAAAAAAAGTTTCCAACAAATTTTTATGCAAGCTTGCAATATTTATAGAAGCTTGCAATATTCATTGAAGTTTGAAATGTTTATTCAGATTTGCAGCAAAAGAATTTACAATATTTGTTCAAGGTTGCAATATTAATCCATGCTTGCAATATTTAATCAAGCTTGTACTTTCCATGAAAGTTTGCAGTTTTTATTCAAGTTTGCAACAAAAGAATGCAATGTCTGTTAAAATTTGTAACATTTTGTTTGCAATATTTATCCTGTATCTTACAATTTAATATGCTAGATTTTGATGCAGTATAATTTTATTAAAATATGTATAATTTTTTTTTTTAGTAAACGATAATAAAATATCTGCC